TATTTTATAGAAGAAACACTGCAGATAAGTATTTGTTTCTTTAAAAGAATTGTACTATATTATTATTGATATATTTTTAATATGTCTATAACCATTGGCTAAGGCAAAAGTAACTTGGAAATTACTTGAAAGGTATTTTAAAATAGATTTCTTCTGGAATACAAACTAAGTACAATTGAATTTTGGTAGTCGTTATTGATAAAATACACAAATTAATATAGTTACAGGAAGATGCCTTTTAAATTATTGATGGGTAAAAATGTTCCTGTTGGAATTGATATATTTTTGTAGGAATGCTTTAGTCTCTTGTTTTTGTGGCTGAAATGTCTACTAGCACAAGGTATAAGTGATGAAAACCAACATAGACTGATAAAGTTTTAGTAACCTGTCTGCTGCTCATGCTGTAATACTCGGTATGGTGCTGTGTTCTGTTTTCGGTGCCTACTTGGCCACAGTCTCTTGTAAGTGAATCTGCCCACCCAGTATGTTTTGTTCCACATGCCCTTGTGGTAGGAAGAAGATGATCATCTCCACCAGGTATGTCTACGTCTTCATCCTCAAACCTATGGAAGTGTTATGTTACATGCAAGGAGGAATTAAGGATGCTGATCAGCTGACTTTAAGAGAAAGAGCTTATCCTGGATTATCTGGTTGGGCCCAGTGTGATTACAGGGCTCCTTTAAATGTGGAACAGAGAGGTAGAGCCAGTGTCCGAGTGATGCGATGTGAGGAAGACTCAGCAGGCCATTGCTGGCTTTGAAGATGGAAGAAGGGGCTATGAGCCAGGGAGTGCAGGTGGCCTCTAGAAGCTGGGGAAGGCCAGGAAACAGATTCTTCTCTAGAGAGCCCCCAGAAGGAACACAGCTCTGCTAATGCCTTGGATTTAGCCCAGGGAAATCCATTTAAGACTCTGACCTCCAGAACATGATAATTTGTGCTGTTTTAAGCCACTATATTTTTAGTAATTTGATACAGAGGCAGTAAGAAACTAATACACCACTCTAGCCTTGGTTACATTTTGTACCACATAATCCACTCTTGCCTCATGATTGGACCAGGGATGAGGACCTGCCTCAATCCTTAGTTAGGCTGCTTCAGTGGATCTCAACCCTGCCTCTCTATCAGAATCACTTGGGGAGTGTAAAACAGGGTGTTAGGAATCACCCCAGAGATTGTGATTGGAGTATGCACCAGAGATGTGATCCACAAAATTAGATAACTGTTTGTTTGGACTGAAAAGGTGAGCTGCTGAAGAAAAAAGTATTTTCATGCATATTTGAATCCTCAAAAATGGAATATTCCTTGGATATTTAATATTAATGTTTAAAAAAATAGAAAGTCTTTTCTTTATGTTTATATTTGCCATAAATCTGTGCATACAAACATACATGGTCCCATATACATGTAATAAGTTGAGCCAGTCAGA